CCAGAGCTTCATTCTTCATAAATTCAGTGTTTTACTTTCTCACAGTATTAATGTCTGACCCTCCCCTCTCCCAACCGGTACGAAATAAGAAAAATCTCAGTATTTGTCATACCTATTCAGGTGCTATGATGAAGATGACAGAAGCAATGGATGGTTGGTGCCGTTGAAATCTGTTTATGAGGTATTCATGACTTGCAGCTCAATTGATTGTATCCATGGAGATTGTTGTGGTTTAAATGCACTATTAACTGCACCTCATTGTCATGCCAGCCACATCTTATTCTCCTAGATTCCTTTGGATAAGACAACTGCTCATTCTCTTCAAGTATAGAGAAGCATTCAGTGGATTATCATAACTGGTAAATGTAGAGAAGGAAAAATTGTCTTTCTGCCATGTGAATTTTCATATTTTATGGTACAAGGTTCCTTTTTTATCGACTAATTGGTGAAACTCTAGAGGTAACAGAACCATTTCACTGAAAGCCACTAACATAAGCTTTGATGCAAGACAGATTTGAGGGCGCTCTTTCCATTAGATTGAAGGATTCTCTGTTCTGCTTATTGAACCACGATTTCCACGTAAGCTTCTTCTAAAGAAAAAACTGACCGAAATGTCATGAGACTTGTATAGATAGTAGAAGCTTCTCCAGTTTTTGTTGACTGTATTCAACAATATTCCTTTTTCCTTTTTAATTTTCAGGGGACAGATTGGAACATTTTGCTTCAGTGGTGACTGTGGTTAGTAGAGAGGTCTATATAAGTTTCTTAATAGACATTCTCGTTACTTTCACTTTCATTAAAACTCTCGCGATGGAAGGACTTCAACCAAGAAAGTTACAAAAAGACTGCTATTTATTGAATCTTATAGCAAAGAGTGCCGCATTGGCTCTAAAAATGTCCTTAGCAGCATCTGTTCATCTTAATAGGTTCTGTAATAATGAGTTGATCCTCCATTCACGAAGATGAAAATGAGTGTGAAAACTGACTTTTACTGTTTCAGATTGATGGTTGAAACAACGGCATGGACGTCTTATCTAAATCGTAGACTGGAAAATATTTGACAGCAGAGGAGTCCTTTCTTGCACAATGTTCATTCTGTACCTGCCTTTCTTACAGCCCTCTTGGATTTTGTTTGTGCATAATAAACAAAAAAAAGTAGTAATATAGCTTTAATGTTTGTCTTAATTGATTGATGTTCCATGCTAGTAAATATTCTTTGCAAAATACTTCATATGCCAAAGCAAATATCAATTAAGCTCAATTAATCTAAAGTTGAAAAGTCTGTTGTTACAATATACATAATATTTATTTTGATGATGAACATTAATTAGGAGGAAAAAGAAGAGACACCATTTTGTAAAAATGAATTTGGTTGCAGCTCTATTTCATCATTCTTGCAACATTCACTCATATGCTTTCTGATTGTACTAATTATGATTTATGTATTTCTTTTTCCATTTTGTAACATCCGACAATTTGAAATAACTATGAAGAGGCTTAGAATTGGAAATAGTCATTTTTGGAAGGAATTTAAAATCTGGAAATTTGGCTAAGTATGGAAAATAATGAATTTTTGGCCAACTTTGAACAGTTATAACTCCTAGCTCAGGTTGATCTAGGTATAGTTCCAGTTATGTTTGCAAAGTTCGTGGATTGTTCTTTCCAACACCATCAACTTTGCTCGTTTCCAATTTCGTATGAGCGAGTTATGCCCTTTGAAAGTTGGGCAGTTGGCAGGGAATCCGTCCGGAAATTGTAAGGGTATTTTGGTCTTTTCCCTAGCCTTGTCTTTGAATATATATTAAGGTGTAAGACTTATTTTTGATCAGTTTTTCCCTTTTTAAAAAGAGTAAGAGTTAGGGTTCTTGAGAGAGAAGGAGAGAAAGGAGAAGAAGAAACAAACTTCGTAAAGATCGTCGTGGTTTTCTTGGGGGTGATCCCTATTAAGGTATGTGAGTTCATAGTGTTGGTTTGGTTCTTTCCCCCACATGCCAAGCTCGTTTAATTTCGAGAAAAAAATGAATATGTTTGTTGAAGTTGTTGGTTATAATTGTTGAAGTTGTAGTTATGTTGGGTTGAAGTTCTTGTTCGTTTGGTGTATGTTTCAGGTGGTGTTTTTGAGTTGAATCTATTGTATGTTGAGAGGTTTCTGATTTTAAATGTTTGGGGCTGGAAACTTTGATGTGTAGAAGGTTTAGAGTTGGAGAAAAGTTGGTTTTGGGGGGAAAAGGGGTGGGGCTTCGCGCCTGTCAGCGCGCCCCAAGAGGGGCTCTGAACTTTCCCCCTTGGGGCAGCGCGCCCCTCAATGCGCCAGCAGGTCCCCTCTGAAGTTTCTATCTCAGAGCGCCAAGTTTTCCCATTCCTTCCCCACTTTCTCATGCATGTTCCTAGGTATTGTACCTATGTTCCCTAGCTGTTTCCAACACCCCAAGGTATGTCTAAACGTCAAGAACTCATCCATATCATGTGATCAAACACCTTGAATCCATAAATCCAATTCAAGGAGAGTTAGTTTCCAAGTCAAGTGAAGTTAAGAGTTAAGCTTGGAAGTTAAGAAGCAAGTCAAGCAAGTTTTTAACGTTATTCAAGAGTCTTTATTGAATGTTTTAACTTCATTTTTAAGGCTCAAGTTTCGAGTTGAGTAAAGAGTTTAAAGTTGAGTTCATTTCTCAAAAGTATTAGGGAACTATGTATTCCCAAAGAAGTTTCTAAATGTTTTTACATTTGAGTAAGAAAAGGAACTATGTTTCCAAAAGAGCCTTTGGGCTAGTTTTCAAGAAACAGGAACATCGATTCCAAGTGAGCCTTCGGGAAAAGTTTTGAGTAATTATCTCAAATAAAGAAAGATGTGTTTAAAACACTTATGAGCTAAGTATTTTTTGGAGTAGTGTTGAGCACCGAATTGGGGACACGAGTTCATATAAACTCAACTTTCCATAAGAACCATGCGCCAACATGGGAGTTAACGGGTCATACTTTTTAGATGAATCCGTAAAGTTAAGCTAGTGGATCCACTTAGTAAAGTTAGCTTCCTATATCACGGCAAGGTATAGGATGGTCCTTGGGCAACGTGAGGTAAAACGTTGTATCACCACTAGGGCTCATAGTGGTGATTGTCGGTTAAAGAATCTCCCACTAAAGTTATATTACTTTTATATAAGTAAAGTTGAGTTGTTATTGTTTTATCTTTAACAAGCTAAGTTATTTACATTGTTTTGCAAGCTTTATATATTGCATGTGTCGTATTGCTTTATATATTGAGTTCAGTTATTCATGCGTTGAACAGAGCCAAGGTAAGAGTTCCTTTGTACTCTTTTCAAGCTTAAGTTGTGGTCAGCTCGCATACTCGTACATTCAGTGTACTGATGCCAGTTGGCCTGATGCCAGTTGGCCTGCATTTTATTATGATGCAGACACAGGTACCCAGGGCCAGCATCCGGTTCGCCGTTGATCCAGTTGAGTACTTCAGAGTCATTGGTGAGCCTCTTTGCATTCCGGAGAACTCGGTTATTTTGTTCTCTCAAGTTTTGTTTTATTAGGATGTCGTGGGGTCTGTCCCAACATACATCTTAGTATTTTAGAGGCTTCATAGACAGTTAGTCAGTTAGTTTGGAGTCTCTCATCTATGTATATATGTAAATATTCTATTTTGAGACTCGAGTTGCCTTTTTGGCCAGATTTTATTTCAGTCATGTTGTTTTAAAAACCTTGCATTGCATTGAGTTTTTCCGCTGAGTTAAGAAAGCCAGGCCAAGGGTTCGCTTGGGGGCCAGCAATGGTCTTCGAGTGCCAGCCACATCCAAGGTATAGGCTCGGGGCGTGACAAACTTGGTATCAGAGCCCAGAGTTCAAGAGTCATAGGGATTCTATGAAGCCGTGTCTGTAGAGTCCTAATTATTGGTGTGAAGCGCGCCACATCTATAATTGGGAGGCTATAACATTTAGGAAGAATTCTCACTTCTTTCACACTCATCTCGTGCGTTAGAGTTTATCTCTAAAGAGTTTCTTTCTAATTCATGCTTGCGCGTGTTTCAGATAGTCATGCCTCCACGAAAAGTTGGCAGAGGGCGTCTTCCTAGACGTTATGTGGATGAGCAAGAGTTACCTTATGCCCCGGGAGTGCAACCACAAGGGGAAGTTTCTAATGCCGAGTTCAGAGAGGCAATTAGAATTCTGAGTCAAGTTGTAACAAATCAGATTGGTCAGCAAATGGGAGTTCGATAGGAAGGAGCTGACACTTCTAGGATTCATGAGTTCTTGGGGATGAATCCTCCGAGTTTCATGGGTTCAAGCACTACTGAGGAGCCAGAGAACTTCATTGAGGAGTTGGAGAAGATTTTTGATGTGATGCATGTGGCAGATACTGAGCGGGTTGAACTAGCTACGTACCAATTGAAAGATGTTGCTAGAACTTAGTTCGACCAATGGAAAGGGGGCAAAGTTGAGAATGCACCACTTGCGAGTTGGGCCTGTTTTAAAGAAGCTTTCTTGGGGCGTTTCTTTCCTCAAGAATTGAAAGAGGCCAAGGTATGTGAGTTCCTCACACTTAAGCAGGAGTCTTTGAGTGTTAATGAGTACAGTCTGAAGTTCACACAACTCTCCCGCTATGCTCCGGAGATGGTTGCGGACATGAGGAGTAGAATGAGTTTGTTTGTTGCTGGACTGTCTCAATTGTCGAGTAAAGAAGGTAGGGCAGCAATGCTTATCGGGGACATGGACATATCAAGGTTGATGGTCTATGTGCAGCAAGTTGAGGAAGAAAAGTTGAGGGACAGAGAAGTGTTCAGAAATAAGAGAGCTAAGACCGGTAATGAGTCCGGGCAGCAGAAAGGTAATGCGAACCGTCTGTCCTTTCAACAAAGGCAAAGGGGACCTGTTCCATCATTTGCTAGTGCACCGGTACCCAGAAATAAAAGTGAGTACACTGGACAGAATTCGCAGAGCTTCAGAGCTGGACCTGCACAGTCTCAGAATAGTATGGCACAAGGAAGTAACCGGGTTCTTGCATGTGCTAGGTGTGGTAGAGTCCATCCAGGGAAGTGTCGTCAAGGCCAGACGGGTTGCTTTAAGTGTGGACAAGAGGGTCACTTCATGAAGGAATGCCCAAAGAACAAGCAAGTTAGTGGAAATCTGGGCAGTAGGGCCCAATCCTCTTCAGTTGTCCCACCCGACAGGATGGCACCTAGAGGATCTACTTCTAATACCGGTGGAGGAGCAAATCGCCTCTATGCAATCACCAGTCGCCACGAGCAAAAGAACTCTCTGAATGTTGTCACTGGTATGATCAAAGTTTTTGCTTTTGATGTGTATGCTTTGCTAGACCCAGGAGCAAGTTTATCTTTTGTAACTCCTTATGTTGCAAATAAGTTTGATGTTCTTCCTAAAAGACTTTGTGAACCCTTTTGTGTTTCTACACCTGTTTGGGAGTCTATTCTAGCAGAAAGAGTATATCGTGATTGTCCTGTTTCTTTCAATCACAAGAGCACCATGGATGATTTGGTTGAGTTAGACATGGTAGATTTTGATGTCATTCTAGGTATGGATTGGCTTCATGCTTGTTATGCATCAATAGATTGTAGAACTCGAGCAGTTAAGTTTCAGTTTCCGAGTGAGCCAGTCATAGAGTGGAGTAGCAGTTCAGCAGCGCCTAAGGGTCGTTTTATTTCGTACCTTGAGGCAAGAAAGTTAGTTTCAAAGGGTTGTATCTATCATTTAGTCCGAGTTAATGACTCTAGTGTTAAAATACCTCATTTTCAGTCAGTTCCTATAGTAAGAAAGTTTCCAAAAGTTTTTCCTGATGATCTACCCGAAATTCCTCCTGAGAGAGAAATAGAGTTCGGCATAGATCTCATTTCAGATACTCGTCCTATCTCTATTCCGCCATATTGAATGACACCAGCAGAGTTAAAAGAGTAGTTGAAAGATCTTCTAGAAAAGGGTTTCATTCGACCGAGTGTCTCACCTTGGGGCGCTCCGGTCTTGTTTGTGAGGAAGAAAGATGGTTCCCTCAGAATGTGTATAGATTACCGCCAGTTGAACAAGGTTACCATCAAGAATAAGTATCCTCTTCCGAGGATTGATGATCTTTTCGATCAGCTTCTGGGTGCCACTTGTTTTTCAAAGATTGACCTCAGATCAGGCTATCACCAGTTGAGAGTAAATGAATGTGATATTCCGAAGACAACATTCAGGACCAGATATGGTCATTTTGAGTTTTTAGTTATGTCCTTTGGGTTGGCCAATGCACCGGAAGCTTTCATGGACCTTATGAATAGAGTCTTCAAACCTTATTTAGATGTGTTTGTTATCGTTTTCATTGATGACATACTAATCTATTCAAGGAATGAAGAAGATCATGCTAGTCATCTCAGACTAGTCCTTCAGACTTTGAAAGATAAGGAGTTGTATGCCAAGTTCTCTAAATGTGAGTTTTGCTTAAGTCTGTGGCGTTCCTAGGCCACATTGTGTCCGGTGATGGAATTAAAGTTGATACTCAAAAAATTGAAGCAGTGCAGAATTGTCCTAGACCCACATCTCCAACTGAAATTAGGAGTTTCTTGGGTCTAGCTAGCTATTATAGAAGGTTTGTTGAGGGGTTCTCATCTATTGCATCCCCTTTGACAAAGTTGACTCAGAAGGCAGTGAAATTTCAATGGTCTGATGCTTATGAGAAAAGCTTTCAGGAATTGAAAAAGAGGTTAATTACAGCTCCAGTTTTGACTTTACCAGAAGGTACTCAAGGTTTTGTGGTGTATTGTGATGCATCTAGAGTTGGTTTGGGTTGTGTCTTGATGCAGAATGGCAAAGTTATAGCTTATTATGCCTCCAGACAGTTGAAAGTTCATGAGAAGAACTACCCAACCCATGACTTAGAGTTAGCTGCTGTAGTTTTCGCTTTGAAAATATGGCGTCACTACTTGTATGGTGTGCATGTTGATTTATTCACGGATCACCAGAGCCTTCAATATGTGCTTACTCAGAAAGAGCTCAATCTCAGACAGAGGAGGTGGTTAGAATTACTTAAGGACTATGACCTGAGTATTCTTTACCACCCAGGTAAGGCTAATGTTGTTGTTGATTCTTTAAGCAGGTTGTCTATGGGTAGTACCGCCCATATTGAAGAAGAGAAGAGAGAGTTAGCAAAAGATGTGCACAGACTAGCATGCCTAGGAGTCAGACTTATGGATTCCACAGAAGGAAGAATAGCGGTGACAAACGAGGCCGAGTGATCACTAGTGTCAGAAGTGAAAGAGAAACAAGATCAAGATCCCATTTTGCTTAAGTTGAAAGCAAATGTTCAAAAGCAAAGAGTATTAGCTTTTGAACAAGGGGGAGATGGAGTATTGAGGTATCAAGGTAGATTGTGTGTACCTATGATAGATGAACTCCAAGAGAGGGTTATGGATGAAACTCACAACTCCAGATATTCCATTCATCCAGGTTCAACAAAGGATGTAACATCAGTCAAGGTCCTTTGGAGGAACCAATTTGTGGAGGAAGCCACTTGGGAAGCAGAAGAGGACATGAAGAAGAGATACCCATATCTCTTTGAATTCGGAGGAAATGTAGACCAAGGTACTAATTTCCTTCTTAGTGCTCTTTAAATTGTAGTGAGCATATTGTTGCTTGTTGTTGTTTGCATGAATTGCTTGTGGGGGAGGGGGTGTTTGATTGATGTTCACCCTTAGCCTAGTAAGAGTAACCTCATTCGAGGACGAATGTTTCCAAGGAGGAGATATTGTAACATCCGACAATTTGAAATAACTATGAAGAGGCTTAGAATTGGAAATAGTCATTTTTGGAAGGAATTTAAAATCTGGAAATTTGGCTAAGTATGGAAAATAGTGAATTTTTGGCGAACTTTGAACAGTTATAACTCCTAGCTCAGGATGATCTAGGTGTAGTTCCAGTTATGGTTGCAAATTTCGTGGATTAGTCTTTCCAACACCATCGAGTTTGCTCGTTTCCGAGTTCGTATGAGCGAGTTACTCCTTTTGAAAGTTGGGCAGTTGGCAGGGAATCCGTCCGGAAATTGTAAGGGTATTTTGGTCTTTTCACTAGCCTTGTCTTTGGATATATATTAAGGTGTAAGACTTATTTTTGATCAGTTTTTCCCTTTTTAAAAAGATTAAGAGTTAGGGTTCTTGAGAGAAAAGGAGAGAAAGGAGAAGAAGAAACAAACTTCGTAAAGATCGTCGTGGTTTTCTTCGGGGGTGATCCCTATTAAGGTATGTGAGTTCATAGTGTTGGTTTGGTTCTTTCCCCCACACGCCAAACTCGTTTAATTTCGAGAAAAGATTGAATATGTTTGTTGAAGTTGTTGGTTATAATTGTTGAAGTTGTAGTTGTGTTGTGTTGAAGTTCTTGTTCGTTTGGTGTATGTTTCGGGTGGTGTTTTTGAGTTGAGTCTATTGTATGTTGAGAGGTTTCTGATTTTAAGTGTTTGGGGCTGGAAACTTTGATGTGTAGAAGGTTTAGAGTTGGAGAAAAGTTGGTTTTGGGGGGAAAAGGGGTGGGGCTTCGCGCCTGTCAGCGCGCCCCAAGAGGGGCTCTGAACTTTCCCCCTTGGGGCAGCGCGCCCCTCAATGCGCCAGCAGGTCCCCTCTGAAGTTTCTATCTCAGAGCGCCAAGTTTTCCCATTCCTTCCCCACTTTCTCATGCATGTTCCTAGGTATTGTACCTATGTTCCCTAGCTGTTTCCAACACCCCAAGGTATGTCTAAACGTCAAGAACTCATCCATATCATGTGATCAAACACCTTGAATCCATAAATCCAATTCAAGGAGAGTTAGTTTCCAAGTCAAGTGAAGTTAAGAGTTAAGCTTGGAAGTTAAGAAGCAAGTCAAGCAAGTTTTTAAAGTTATTCAAGAGTCTTTATTGAATGTTTTAACTTCATTTTTAAGGCTCAAGTTTCGAGTTGAGTAAAGAGTTTAAAGTTGAGTTCATTTCTCAAAAGTATTAGGGAACTATGTATTCCCAAAGAAGTTTCTAAATGTTTTTACATTTGAGTAAGAAAAGGAACTATGTTTCCAAAAGAGCCTTTGGGCTAGTTTTCAAGAAACAGGAACATCGATTCCAAGTGAGCCTTCGGGAAAAGTTTTGAGTAATTATCTCAAATAAAGAAAGATGTGTTTAAAACACTTATGAGCTAAGTATTTTTTGGAGTAGTGTTGAGCACCGAATTGGGGACACGAGTTCATATAAACTCAACTTTCCATAAGAACCATGCGCCAACATGGGAGTTAACGGGTCATACTTTTTAGATGAATCCGTAAAGTTAAGCTAGTGGATCCACTTAGTAAAGTTAGCTTCCTATATCACGGCAAGGTATAGGATGGTCCTTGGGCAACGTGAGGTAAAACGTTGTATCACCACTAGGGCTCATAGTGGTGATTGTCGGTTAAAGAATCTCCCACTAAAGTTATATTACTTTTATATAAGTAAAGTTGAGTTGTTATTGTTTTATCTTTAACAAGCTAAGTTATTTACATTGTTTTGCAAGCTTTATATATTGCATGTGTCGTATTGCTTTATATATTGAGTTCAGTTATTCATGCGTTGAACAGAGCCAAGGTAAGAGTTCCTTTGTACTCTTTTCAAGCTTAAGTTGTGGTCAGCTCGCATACTCGTACATTCAGTGTACTGATGCCAGTTGGCCTGCATCTTATTATGATGCATACACAGGTACCCAGGGCCAGCATCCGGTTCGCCGTTGATCCAGTTGAGTACTTCAGAGTCATTGGTGAGCCTCTTTGCATTTCGGAGGACTCGGTTATTTTGTTCTCTCAAGTTTTGTTTTATTAGGATGTCGTGGGGTCTGTCCCAACATCTATCTCAGTATTTTAGAGGCTTCATAGACAGTTAGTCAGTTAGTTTGGAGTCTCTCATCTATGTATATATGTAAATATTCTATTTTGAGACTCGAGTTGCCTTTTTGGCCAGATTTTATTTCAGTCAGGTTGTTTTAAAAACCTTGCATTGCATTGAGTTTTTCCGCTGAGTTAAGAAAGCCAGGCCAAGGGTTCGCTTGGGGGCCAGCAATGGTCTTCGAGTGCCAGCCACGTCCAGGGTATAGGCTCGGGGCATGACACATTTATATTATTACGATTAAAGTCTTAAGAAGGATATGTATTGTGTATGTTTTTTTTTTTTTATGTTTTCTCTATATTAGATTTTAATACATTATTAGAAGCTCTGTCGGATGGGCTCAGCAAACTTGCTTCTTTGGAAAAGTTATGTTTAAGGGGCTGTGAAAAACTAGAGCATCTGCCATCCAAAGATGCCATGCGACGCCTCACTAAAATACGGAATCTGGAAATTGGAGGCTGCCCAAAGTTAAAAGAAAGTTGCACCAATCGGAGTAGCCCAAACTCCCAGTGGTCCAACATTTCCCATATTCCAAAAATTAAAGTAGGTGGGAGGATGATTCAGAAATTACGTAAGTCTCTGTTTCTCTTTCACTGTCTGATCAGTCAATTTTTTAAATATTAATTTCCCTGTGTTCCAGAAAAGAAGTTCTGTATGTGGTTTAACATTTTTTTCTGAAATTATTTTGACATAAAGAATGCAAAATTATTAATGAATTGCATTTGTGCTATGCTTTCAGCATTCTGCTTGTCCACTTGAACTGAATTGTTCTTTCTCTAAATTCTTCAAGTATGGTATATCTTGATATGATTTAATCATAAGATTTTTGTTTTTTTTCCTTATAGGTTACTAGTTTCAAGGCCATGCTAGAACATCAATTTGGTATTTGACTTGTTCTAACGCAGAGATAACTCCGGAAGCATTTTATTGCTTACAAATGAGTTTTGGCATTTGGACCAGGTACATACTATATTTCTTAAATTTATTAAGTAATTTTCAGTACTTATTTCATTTTACTTTTTCTAATTGCATCAATCAACTATCTATGAAATTGTGTAAGTGTTAGAATGTAAGTTGTTAGGAAGAGACTACATTAGTTTCGGTCGATTTGGTGTTTCTATGTTTGTACCATAATTTCCCATAAGTTATGAAGTAAAAGGAATAATAAGTTATGTGGAATGCCCATTATACTGAAATAACAAATAACTTTTTTGAAGGCGAAGACCTAGGACTTGAATGGGTCAACCAGTTTGAAGACGATCTGTCCATTAGATGTACAAGATTTCCATGTAAGCTTCTTCGAAATTGTTAATCTCCTAGAAAGGAAAAAGCTGACTGGAATGTCAATATAAGTTTCTTAATAGACATTCTCGTTACTTTCACTTTCATTAAAACTCTCGCGATTGAAGGACTTCAAAAAAGAAAGTTACAAAAGACTGCTATTTATTGAATCTTATAGCAAAGAGTTCCCCATTGGCTCTAAAACTGTCCTTAACAGCATCTGTTCATCTTTATAGGTCTTGTAATGAGCTGATTCTCCATTCACGAAGATCAAAATGTGTGCGAAAACTGACTTTTACAGATTCCTGTGTTTCGTAGACTGGAAAAGACTTGTCTGAGATTTGACAGCAGAGGCCTTTCTTGCACAATGTTCATGCTGTACCTGCCTTTCTTACAGCCCTCTTGGCTTTTGTTTGTGCATAATAAACAAAAAAAGTAATATAGCTTTAATGTTTGTCTTAATTGATTGATGTTCCATGACAGTAAATATTCTTTGCAAAATACTTCATATGCCAAAGCAAAAATAAAAAACAAAAAATGGGCAAGCAGATTACAAGGTGGAAAATCGAATTCTTACCAACAATGTTAAAGTTCAGATAGCCAACCAACTGAACTACAGATTCTTCTTCTTTGACTTGTCTAATCGAGCGCGCTAAAGAATTCTGTTGTGGGAAAACATTGGAAATCATGGAGTTGTGCTTTTTGAATACTAGTTTCTGAGTACGTGCGTTGCACGTGTGACCCGTGCAAGTTTTTATAGATCCATTACAACGACTAAGTATATATGAAAATATATTATTAGTAATAAAACAACAATTACAAATAAATTTTTAAAAGGGTGACAAAAACAACATTTATATATATATACATATTCTATATTATTTTAAGAGGGAGTTTATGCTCAAGTTCTACTATATAATAAATATAATATATAATATTCAAGAAAGTCCCAATCTTGAATATTATATATTATACTTGGGTATAAAATAGAATTTTAAAGGTCCCACAAATATAATATATAATATTCAAGATTGGGAAAAGTCTCAATCTTGAATATTATATATTATACTTGGGCCTAAACTCTCTTTTATAAATATAGTAGAATAATAAGTCATTTGTAAATGATATATGTTGCTTCCTTGATTGAGACTTTTCCATTTGTGAGATATATATATTCTATATTATTTTAAAAGGGAGTTTATGCCCAAGTTCTACTATATAATAAATATAATATATAATATTCAAGAAAGTCCCAATCTTGAATATTATATATTATACTTGGGTATAAAATAGAATTTTAAAAGTCCCACAAGTATAATATATAATATTCAAGATTGGGAAAATCTCAATCTTGAATATTATATATTATACTTGGGTTTAAACTCTCTTTTATAATATAGTAGAATATATATATAAAATATGATGATGATTTTGATGTCAGGAATACTTTCTGCCGCTTGTTTTTATTAACATAAAAATATGAGCAAGACAAAAATTACATGGTGTTAAGGATTACAACGTAACTTGTGAACCAAATCCACAAATAGATTATGAAATAAACAAAGTAGCAACTACGTTTATAAAAAAGAAAATTCTTTATCATATTTATTATACATAGAGGTGCAACTGTGCAAGTCCAATTCAAATAGAGCTGGCAGCCAATGGGTATGGTCCCGCATGTTAAGTGTCTATCATCAATTTTAGCACTTCTATCCAAACATAGTACACCATTGTTTATTTGTAGTATACTTTCTCCGTCCCTTTTTACTTGTCAAATTTTGAGTTGGCATATCAATTAAGAAAATAATTACTAGAATAGTGAGTTTATGATTTTACTTTTATTAAAAAGGGATAATACATATATTTGACCTTAAACTTGGCTTCAAATTTTAACTTTGACCTCCAACTTTCATAGTGCACAAACAAGCACTTTAACTATCCAATCTTTTAATAAATAAACACGCGATTTTTGGAGCCAAGAGCGTGAAATGCAAACGCTGCCACGTGTATTAGTGAGCCACTCAATGATTGCTAACTAATTAAACACTTTACACGTCCATTTTAGAACTAAAAAAAAAAAAAATTAATTAAGGGTAGAGTTGTCATTTCAGCATTTTTTTCACTGTTGTGTGCCTAAAAAATTACTTATCACTCGCGCAAAATGCGTGCACATCACGCGTTTTGCCAGGTAAGACACGTGTGTTTATTTATTAAAAGGTTGGATAGTTAAAGTGTCTATTTGTGCACTTTGAAAGTTGGAGGTCAAAGTTAAAATTTGAAGCCAAGTTTAAGGTCCAATATATGTATTATGCCTTTATTAATTAATAGGATCCCAAATGTATTTACTAACGATACTTTTTAATAGAAAATTGTCCTGGCTTGGTTTGTCAAAAATGACAAGTAACAAATTAGGAAATATTTGAAAGAAAATTCTACAAAAACCAGAGTATTATTAGTAGTCTTAGAGAGATATTTGTGTCATTGGAGTCATGACTACCATTCAAATTTTTCCCACTGTTTGAATTATTGTGTTTCCTTTAGTAGACATAAACAACTACCAAAACAAGATTTCACCCAAAACATTGAGAAAAAAGAGTTTGTGAAGGAGCAAAAGCAACAATGGCATTTGGGAGTGAATAAGTGGATCCAATAGATAATCGTCACGTTTTTTAAAAATTATTTAAATGATAATTTGTTATAAAAGTAGTTGATATTGGACCGAAAGATGGATGATAGTGGTATTTGGGAGCCAATAAGTGAATGGAGGGTAGTTTTGTACCATTTCCAATAGTTTAAGGATATTTTAGGCCCTTTTTCGTTTTCTTTTTATACTCTGTAATAATTATTATACAATCAATTTTTTTAGTGGTGGGCAAAAGACTAGCAAAGGAAGAGTTTGGTGTAGAGGAAGAAGACGACTTTCTGAAGGAGTACCAACTCTAATTATTGTTTGACCTCCTCACCCATCTCTATGTACTAAACAACACCTTCTGTCATATAGTATTTGGATCTACGTACGAACCAATCAGTTAACAATCGATCAATCTATCATTGAGCTATTGAGGAATAACTGGAGATTCGATAAGTTAATATTGAGGTGAGTTCCATTGATTCATAATTTGTTTTCATACTTAAAGGAAATCTTTATCCTCTTAATCTATATACTCCTCGTTCATAACTTGCTTTGGTGTAGAGGAAGGAGCAAAAACAACAATGGCCGATCCAGTAATTGGTGCTACTGTTCAAGTTGTGCTTGACAAGCTGCTTTCTCTCACTATTGAGAAAGTCAGTAGCTCAAGAGATTGCAACAAACATTTCAAGATTGGGAAAAGTCCTAATCCTGAATATTATATATTATACTTGGGCATAAACTCCTTTTTATTATATAGTAGAATTTTGATGTCAGGAATACTTTCTGCCACTTGTTTTTATTAACATAAAAATATGAGCAAGACAAAAATTACATGGTGTTAAGGATTACAACGTAACTTGTGAACCAAATCCACAAATAAATTATGAAATAAACAAAGTAGCAACTACGTTTATAAAAAAGAAAGTTCTTTATCATATTTATTATACATAGAGGTGCAACTGTGCAAGTCCAATTCAAATGGAGCTGGCAGCCAATGGGTATGGTCCCACATGTTAGGTGTCTATCATCAATTTTAGCACTTCTATCCAAACACAGTACACCATTGTTTATTTGTAGTATACTTTCTCCGTCCCTTTTTACTTGTCAAATTTTGAGTTGGCATATCAATTAAGAAAATAATTACTAGAATAGTGAGTTTATCATTTTACTTCTATTAATTAATAGGATCCCAAATGTATTTACTAACGATACTTTTTAATAAAATATTGTCCTTGCTTGGTTTGTCAAAAATGACAAGTAACAAATTAGGAAATATTTGAAAGAAAATTCTACAAAAGCCAGAGTATTATTAGTAGTCTTAGAGAGATATTTGTGTCATTGATGTCATGACTACCATTCAATTTTTCCCACTGTTTGAATTATTGTGTTTCCTTTAGTGGTCCATAAACAACTACCAAAACAAGAATTCACCCAAAACATTGAGAAAAAAGAGTTTGTGAAGGAGCAAAAGCAACAATGGCATTTGGGAGCCAATAAGTGGATTCAATAGATAATTGTCACGTTTAAAAAAAAATATTTAAATGATAATTCGTTATAAAAGTAGTCGATATTAGACCCAAAGATGGATGATAGGGGTATTTGGGAGCCAATAAGTGGATGGAGGGTAGTTTTGTACCATTTCCAATAGTTTAAGGGTATTTTAGGCCCTTTTCCGTTTTCTTTTTATACTCTGTAATAATTATTATACAATCAATTTTTTTAGTGGTGGGCAAAAGACTAGCAAAAGAAGAGTTTGGTGTAGAGGAAGAAGACGACTTTCTGAAGGAGTACCAACTCTAATTATTGTTTGACCTCTTCACCCATCTCTATGTACTAAACAACACCTTCTGTCATATAGTATTTGGATCTACGTACGAAACTCCGAGATGAACTAGGAGGAAAAAGATATTTGCTTGTCTTAGATGATTTGTGGCGTGTTGACCTTCCAGTGTGGGATGAGTTCATGGACAGCTTGAGAGGAATAAACACTTCCAGAGGAAACTGCATTCTTGTGACGACTCGTACGAAACTGGTGGCATCCACAGTAGCAGCAGTAGGTCCTCATATGTTGGAAAAATTAGCAAAAGATCATTCTTGGTCGATTTTCAAACAAAGAGCATTTGTTGATGGGGAAGTTCCGGAGGAAATACTGAGTGTGGAGAACAGGATTGCTGAAATGTGTCAAGGTCTACCGTTGGCAGCAAGTGTTTTGGGAGGCCTCTTGCGCAACAAGGAGAAGCATGAATGGCAGGCGATTCTTGATGGAAATCCCCTTGTTGCAGGTGAAAATAGCTTAAAGAAAATCCTAAAACTCAGCTATGTTTATCTACCATCTCCATATCTAAAAAAATGTTTTGCTTACTTAGCAATGTTTCCAAAAGATTATAAGTTTGAAAAGGACCAACTAATCCAACTCTGGATGGCAGAAGGGTTTCTTCGTCCAAGTCAAGAGATCCCTATGATGGAAGACGTAGGGAACAAGTTTTTTCAACTCTTGTTGCAATATTCCTTGCTGCAAGATGTTGAGCTAGATGAGCACAACAATATAACACACTGTAAGATGCATGATCTTGTGCATGATTTGGCTCGAGATACATTAAAAGCTAAACTATTTGATACGAAAAGTGTTGGAGGTGAAAATCTTTCTCAAGTTCGATACTTCGGATGGAACTCACCAAGTGATCAAATGGATACGATAACTGAGGCAGGACGTTTGTGCACATTGTTCTGGAAAAGCAATATATCTGATGATATGCTATTGAGCTTTCAGTTCTTGAGACTTTTAAATTTGTCTGGATCAGGCATCAAGGAGTTGTCAGCCAAAATCAGCAAGCTAATATACTTGAGATATCTTGATCTCTCCAACACTAAGATCGAAGACTTTCCCAACTCCATTTGCAAGCTCTACAATTTGCAAACATTTAGAGTCAATGACTGTTCTTCACTCAGGAAGCTTCCAGAAGAAATGGCAAATATGATAAGTTTGAGACACGTATATTACCAATCAGCAATTCCTGATCAGTTTCAGATGCCACTTAATATGGGACAATTGACCAGTCTTCAGACGCTACAGTTTTTCTACGTAGGTTTAGAGAAAGGTCGTCGAATAGAAGAATTAGGTCGTTTGAAAAACCTTAGAGGTGAATTGACGATCAAATGTCTCCAATTAGTTGGAAATAAAGAAGAGGCTCAAACAGCATATTTACAGGAGAAACCAAATATCTACAAGCTGACATATTTATGGTCCCATGATGAATCAGAAGGCTGTGAGATCAATGATGAGCATGTGTTGGATGGTCTTCAACCGCATCCGAACTTGAAAACCTTATCAGTAGTGGACTATTTTGGGACTAAATTTCCTTCATGGTTCAGTGAAGGATTGCTACCAAATTTGGTCAAGTTGAAATTAAGTGGCTGCAAAAGGTGCAAAGAAATTCCATCGCTTGGCCAACTGAAATTCCTTCGGCATCTTGAGCTGGTAGGATTCCATGAGTTGGAATGCATTGGACCTGCTTTATATGGTGTTGAGATTAGCAATATTGGATCAAGCAGCATTATCCAAGTGTTCCCGTCATTGAAAGAATTAGTATTGGATGATATGCGTAGCCTTATTGAGTGGAAGGGAGATGAAGTTGGTGTAAGAATGTTTCCTAGGCTTGAGAAGTTGAGGATTGCAGACTGTCCACTGTTAAAAAATACTCCAACTCAATTTGAAGTTCTCCATGAATTAAGAATTGAAGGAGTTGACAGTGAAATGCCATTGTTGAACCTGTGCAGCAACTTGACATCTCTTGTGGTTCTTTTTGTCTATAACGTGAAAGAGCTTACTTGTTTTCCAGATGAGATGCTACACAACAACGTTTCTCTTCAGTACCTATGGGTCTCATGCTGCGAAGAGTTCCGTGAATTGCCACAAAGCTTGTACAATCTCCATTCTCTTAAGAGCTTAAGGATTTATAGATGCACCAATTTCAGTTCTTTTGCTGTTCCCAGTGGAGAGAACTACTTGACTTCCCTCCAAAGTTTTCAGTTACAGATGTGTAATGGATTGACCAGTTTACCAAGTGGAATGCTAGAGCATTGTCGGTCTCTACATACTTTGTGGGTCCTCAATTGTAACAACTTGGTTTCCTTGCCTTTACATTTGTGGGAAAT